TTTTTTTTTTTTTTTTTTGTGACTAAAGATAGGGTCTGGCTCTTGCTCAGGCTGGTCTCAAACTCCTGAATTCAAGGGATTCCCTCCTTTGCCTACCAGAGTGCTGGGATTACAGGCGTGAACAGAGTCCCAAAATGTCTGTAGAAGTTTCTGGTTAAAGTCTGTCTTTTTTTTTTTCTGTTATACTACTTTTTTTTTTATTTCATTAAGTCATTTGTACATAGATCATAAATAAATTTATGCCATTATGGGATTCAATGTGTTGATTATTTGTACAAATTGGAATGCTTACACCCTACTAAACAACATAGCCTTCACCACTTTTGCCCAATTACAGAATTAAGGCATTTATGCTCTACCCCTGATAGATCCATAAAGTCTGTCTTAACAGAAAGAAAGTCTTCAGGGACTCATTGATAACTAAGCTCATAAAACAAGAAAGGGAAGGAAGAAGATGGCTAAGGTCATCACAGTCTGCGATGTGTGATTGTAAGACTTGTAACTACTGTGAATCTCAGATTTGATAAGGTTATAAGTAAGGAAGAGAGATGGTGGAGTTTATCATGGATCAATACATTTTTGCCATTTCTGAATGGCAGACAGAAGATAACAATACCTACTTAAACACCTGTGAGGATTAAAACATGTTACTATATATAAAAGCTCTTCAAAAATTGCAGTACATTATGCAGATTTTCATTTTATGCAAAAGATGGCTATACTGCACTCAAATTAAGTCTTTACCCTGTCTAAATCCATCATGTACGTATAAAGCCTAGTATAGCTCAGTTTATAAGTAGCACTGAATACTCCGGTAACAATAGGGAGAAATGACTGGAATATTTGAAATCTGCATATATTATCTAAATCTTCTTAAGGGTTTTTTTGGGCAGTATCTTTTTTTTGTATTATGTATTCCATCACCTATTTGTTGGTAGAACTGCTAATAAATAACAAAAAAGGCAATTAGAAAGCAAGCCTATTAAATTTTTATGTAATAAAGCTGTGAATTATTTGACTACTTAGATTTTTTAAAGTAACATAAAAATAATATTATGACTTCATGTCTTAAATTAGTACCAAAAAAAGCAAGACCAGGATGTTAAGCAAGCTGAATACAAGCCAGCACAGAGTTGTTTAATGCGCGTAAGGAGTAAATCTGATATTTCACTTTCACAGCAACAAGGTAAGACTTATTTTCATGTAATTATATAATGGTTTGATATTGAACAAATATATAATGAAAAACTCTGCTTTTGTACATGTCCCACTTGGCCTCTAGGTGTTTTTGTTCTCATTTAGTCCATTTGGATGCAGAATCTGGTATCCTGTTTGTGAATTTGTTAGTTCTTCTTACCAATTTTTAATGGATTTTAAAAACTCTCAGCTGGTGCTTTTTCTTTAATCTTAGCCTTTGGTTCTTGTGCAGTTGAATGTCAGTGTCTTTTTTATCTTTATCTAGGTCTGTTTGAAGTTATAATATGCTGAAGGCAGGAATTGTTCCTGTTTATGTGTTTTATAAGGGCTATTGGCGACTGTATTGTATTGACTAGGTATTAGTAAAAACAGTTGAGTCTCATGTTACGTGCTATGATGCAAATGAATGTTTCTATACTGTTATTATCAAAATTGTGTTGTTAACTTTAACTCCACACAGCATTAAAGCGTCTTGCTGTTGTCTTTATGTTTCTAAGGCTGTTGCCTGATGCTCTGCTGCCCTCTTGCTTCTTGGTCACTTACATTTCATATAACCTCAATTCTGAAATTTGGCAGTAGAAATTAAGATCTCTTCTTTTTAAGAACTTTCTGTCCATAATCCAGGAAGAAGTATTAGGAATATTTTGAGCAGTGGGATGGTTTGTTTTTCTTTTATATTTATGATTTTCATTAAATTTTCTCTTTTTTTTTTTTTTTTGGAGACAGAGCCTCAAGCTGTCCCCCTGGGTAGAGTGCTGTGGCATTACAGCTCACAGCAACCTCCAACTCCTGGGCTCAAGCAAGTCTCCTGCCTCAGCCTCCCAAGTAGCTGGGACCACAGGCACCTGCCACAACACCTGGCTATTTTTTGGTTGCAGCCATCATTGTTGTTTTGGTGGGCCTGGGCTGGATTCAAACCCGCCACCTTAGGTGCATGTGGCTGGTGCCTTACCCACTTGAGCCACAGGCGCTGAGCCTAATTTTCAAATAATATTTGAGAATGCATATTACTGAACACTAGTGTAATTGCAAGTGTGACTATGCATTTAGTTTGGGAAGGACCTAATGAAGAAGTGCTCAGGATAGAAAGATCATATCATATTTAAGGGTTAGATTTTAACCCTTTGTTTTCTCTTACTCTTTTGCTCCATCTTTTCAGAATTTTGCTTTCCTGACTTTTTTTTTTAACTAACCATAGTACATTAGTGTTATTATTATATTTTACAATCTTATGGAAAATTGCCTATAAAAGTCTTCTCATGGCAATCTAAAAATTAAATATTCTATAGACATGTATAAGCTTGAGCCAAAGAGGTTGAGGTTGCTGCGAGCTAAGACGCCGTGGCATTCTACCTAGGGTGACCTATGAGTAAGACTCTTTCTCAAAAAAAGAAAAGAAAAGAAAAAGGTATGTATAAGCAAATAAGAGTTCCTAAGACAATGTCAGAACTGATTTGATGTTCTTTTGTTAGATACTGTTACCATTTATTGTTCATTTAGGTTTTTTTAAATCATTTTTTGAAATTATAAGTGAATTTTGTTTTCTTGGGGATCTTTTAACTAATAAAAGAATCATTTTTTTCAGCTGATAGGAAAATATCTTTGGGAAGAATTTAAGAATAACTATCCCTCATTAGGAAAGTGCCACTGTTTTTATTTCACATACAACATGCTTCTTGATTTACACTGGGGTTATGTCCCTATGAACCCATCCTACATTGGAAATATTCTAGGTTCAGAGTCTGTTTTCCACTTAACAGTATTCTTTCTTTCTTTCTTCTTCTTCTTTTTTTCTTTTTTTTAATTTCAATAAACTTACGGAGTACCAGTGTTTTTGTTACATGGATGAATTATATACTGAAGTCAGGGCTAACTAAAAGCACTTAACTAATATTTTCAATTTACAGTGGGTTTATGCTGACATAAGCTCATCACAAGTCAGAACCAATTCAGTAGAGTTTTTGCACCACCATAAATTGAAAAATTGTATGTCAAACCGTCATAACTCAAGGACTATCCATGTAGTATCAGGGTCTGACCACAGGATGGCAATAGTTACATTTATGTTGACTTACAGGAACATCATTAAATAATGTCCAATGGACATTTAATAAGTCAATAAAAACCATAAGAAGAAGAAAAGAGGCCAAGGTGCTAGCTAGTAGGTGGCAGTTTTATTTAGAACGGGTTTTTAACAGTTGGATGTGAAACATTTGAAATTGTTTCTGTTTAGTTTTACATCTAATACAAAAGTTCAGAGAGCAGACTGATGCCAGCCTTGACTAAGAGAAAGAAATGCCCAGTGAGATATGAATGAACATTTTAAATAGAAGCAAAGTCTTTCACTTATTAATTGGTACATGTCTCCATATTGAATATTTCCTGAACAAATATAATTGCCATAGCAAATGCAGTCCATTATGACTTCTTTCCCATAAATTTTGTGGGTTTTATTTTTTTCTCTGATGAAACTCTGAGACATTGCCAAATGTTTCAGAAAATAGGAAACTCAGAGTGCCAAGATAATCCTCTAGGGCTCTCCAGACTTTGGGTGACCTTGAAGGAATGCAATCCTTTCATTCACGGAAGTCTTGAAGATAGTGAAGGAAATTTACATTATCACAAGGAAATCAAAACCACATTTTTTCTACCAGATAAATGCTTCTATGAATACTTGAGCCCTAAACTACGGCTGTTTGAGGTGGAAGTAACATGTCTTTTCCTCTGAGGTGCGTATTAGTTTAACATGTCCATATATCGAAGCCAAGCAGTTCCCTGGCAGTCACAGCTTTCTCGACAATCACTGGAAAGTGACTGGGTAGTAAGGCTGAGCCCCAGCACTGTGCTGCTGGGCATCTGTGAAGTCCTTGGTTTTTTACCCTCTGTCTTGGTTATTAATTTTAGATTTTTTATGTAAAAGAGAGATATTAATTGTTCTGACAGATGATATCTTTTGAGTCTAAGAATAAAACCCTTCCATTTAGTATTAAGTTCCCTGGGAGCGGTTTCTGACCGTGCCAATATCACTGACCTGATTCTGTGCCCTGAGTAGTGTGTCCCACAGTTTGCTAGTGAAAGCAGCTTATTCTCAAAGCAGGATGTACATCTTTAAAAGGTGATTTTAATGAGTCATTTCTGTTTTTCTCCTTTTACTGTGCAAGTTAACTATTACAGCCTCTTTTGCTATGCAAATTAACTTCAATACAAATGAGAGACTAGATCTAAATTTATTGATTTGTGATGAAGCCATAAACAATTAAATTCTATCAAGTGAAATATTAAAATAATCTACTTTTTAAAAATTCATTTTTATTTCAAAATATTAAGGGATGAGACTCTGTCTCAAAACCCCCCCACAAAAACAGAATATTAGGGGGTGTAGTGTTCTTTTTTTTCCTCACTTCTATCTTTTATTTTATTTTATTTTTATTTTTATTTTATTTCTTATAGCATAACTATGTACATTAATGCAATCATGGGGTGCACTGTGCTGTTTTCATATACATTTTGAAATACTCTCATCAAACTGGTTAACATAACCTTCATGTCATTCTCTTAGTCATTAAGTTAAGATATTCATAGTCTGCTTTTAGAAAGATTCACTTGTATCTTTGTAAGATAAACCATATAGGTGACCCCACCAATCAGGTGCAGTGTTCTTAATGTATGGACAAGTTGCACAGTGCTGAAGTCGGGGTTTTTGGTGTGCTTGTCACCCTGTATCCAATAGGTACATTTTTGTCCCTCTCTGCAGCCCTCCCTAAAATGGTACACTTTAAAAAAATATTTTTTTCTTTCATTTTTCTCTTAACACTTTAAGACCATCTTAATAAATAATAAGAAGAAAGTCAATTATGTTATATACTACTATCATTTGGAAAAAAAATTAGGTCATGTGTTTTATGGTTAAATGCTAGGACTGATCAGGTTGTCAGAGTTGCTTGAAGATAATAACATTCTTCAGTTTTCTTATTTGTGTATTATATATGTTGCTCGGAAAATATGCATCAGAATGCTAAAAGTAATGGATGTAATTGTCATAATTTGTCAAAATCGATTTACATTTTTGTGGGAAATATCACAAATGTTTCTTTTTGACACATTTCTTTTTGAATTTAATTCTTAGCCACCTTAGCACCTTTTATACCATATATAGTGACTTTAAATAAGTCAGAATTAGGAAATTCAAAGCTTATGGACATTCACTTAGAAGCTATTTCTGATATATACCAATGAAATCATTTTTATTTTCTAATCAAGTGGTATTTTTTTGCCTTTGTATTTAAAATATGGCTAAATTACAATAGCTATCAGAATTATAAGTGATCTTGGTAATTTCAAAACCATAGTTAAAAGTGTTTTAAGTTTTTCTTTTTTAATCTTAATATAAATAGTGATTTCAAAGCCATGTGGATCTTGGCTGGGGTGGGGTGGGTGGGGAATGGGGCACAGACTAGTAAGACTACCCCAGATGTGTGTCTCCAAATGTTTAGCAAGCGCTGAGTAAATATGCCTTCCACAAATCCATACAGTTACTAACAGAAGAGAGATTCACTTTGAAATGTTGCTAAATTTGAGAGCTTAGTTTCTACCGAGGGTGAGGAAAACAGAAATACTGTCACTTGCACCTAAACTGTAATAAAATGTCAGATAAATACAAAATCATAACATTGTTTTGAACCCATGAGAAAGCTTATGGGACAGAGCAACTAAGTAGCCCAGAGTCCAAGGAAAGACCGGCTTTGTCAAAAAGAGCAGGGACGTAAGCCCAGGGAGAGACGCCAGGCACCACTCAAGCAGGTATCGGAGGAGTATTTGGCGAGGCTTTTGTAACAGGTCGCTAATGGCCACATACAGAACCAGTGGTGAACAGATATGAGGGGGTTCACACCTACTCCCAGGCTTCTTGACTGGCGGGCAGGCAAAACACTGTGGAGAGAGTCCCCTTCGCTGGTGCAGGTCTGGAAAAGGGACTAACCATCACTGCCA